ATCCAAAATCAAGCTAAGAAAAACAGCACCACAACCACGCCCAATAGCAAAAAAAAGAAGGAAGAAAAATAACGGATCTCGGCACGATGCTGCCTGCTATCGCAGGGGAGTGTCGTCGCTACTCACAGGTCTCTGGCGACGACGCGATGAAGGACAAGAGAGAGAGAGAGAGAGAAGAGCTAGGAGGGAGAGAGGAGAGAGATGTGGGACGATTCAGAGATGGAGATGAATGAGGGACGTGGTTGGAAATTAGGGTTTTAATTATTAATTGAATTCAAACCTAATTTTTTATTAAACAAACATTACACCTAATTTTTGAATTTGGAAACTTAAATGCAGGGTACCAGGTAATTTTCTCAAAGATTAATGCATCATTCAGGGCCCATAAGCTATTATTTCAAATTCATATTATAGTAAAAAGGCTTCCTCATATTCTCTAAGCTTGTCCTTAAGGCAAAAGTTTCAACTCGAATATGATCTTTCCACTTGCAAAAGCATGTGGAATATAACAAAAAATTAATCCACTTTCAAACGTAAATCACCTTTTTCCAGTGGTGGAACAAATAATATCTTATATGTTTAAGAAATTGTCGCTGCCATTATGCAATGAAGGCGCACAAATTGCCAAAATAATAGTGCTAAATGATTCCTTTCTCCCACTCAATTCTACCTTAAGATAAGGAATCGAGAAAGGGTGTGATATAAAAAAATAGAAATAAATTATAAACGTCTAGCTCATTGTATGATTCGTTACATGGCACATGACACATGCATGGACCAAACAGAAACAGTATAAACTCACAAAAAGTTCGTTAGCACTGCATATACCCTACCTATCCATTCATAGGCAAAAGATGTAATCTCATAAATCATAATAATAGTACTTTACACATAACTTTAATTTGGCTTCTTGTTTAATAGGTTCTCGACGACGAAATGTTTGCCATTTTGGTCATGATGGCACTCTTCACCACCTTCATTACAACTCCAACAGTTATGGCTGTTACGGGCCTGTGTCAGACCCGCCACCTCACCCGCCACGTGTAACACCCGTGGCCCGAGCCACGTGCCGGACGAGGTGCTTGACCTAAAAACTAAACTGATTGTACATGCCGAGGTGATTGCACTAAGGACGAACTGAAAACGCGTCAGCGAACGAACCGGACTCATCCACAAGTACACAGTGGATGCAAAGGCCCG